TTCTATTTCCTATTTATTACCAATATGGGGCACTATTTCCCACTGTTATGGGTCTACGATTCCTCCATTCTGTTTGATGGGGCACTATTTCCAACTGACATTATGATGGGGCACTATTCCTCCCACTGATATTATATTCTTTTACCAATGACTATTCACTATAACTTCCACTGATTTACCAATGATGGGGCACTATTCCTCCTATTCTACACCAATGTTGGGGTTATTCCTCTATGATCCAATGATGGGGCACTATTCCCCCACTGACACCAATGATGGGGCAAACTGCCTCCCCTGGTCAATGATGGGGCACTATTGCTTGATACCCTCTATCCAGCCCTGACACCATGGGGAACACTATTCCTCCCCTGACACCAACAATGAGGGCACCATTCCTCTTACACTGACACTAATGTGGGCAACTATTCCTCTCAATGACACCAACAATGGGACATTTTTCCATCCACTGATACCAATGATGGGACACTATTCCTCCCAATGACACCAATGATGGGGCACTATTCCTCCCACTGAACCAATGATGGGCACTATTCCTCCCACTGATACCAATGATGGGGCACTATTCCTCCCACTGATACCAATGATGGGGCACTATTCCTCCCACTGACACCAATGATGGGGACACTATTCCTCCCACTGATACCAATGATGGGGCACTATTCCTCCCACTGATACCAATGATGGGGCACTATTCCTCCCACTGACACCAATGATGGGGCACTATTCCTCCCACTGACACCAATGATGGGGCACTATTCCTCCCACTGATACCAATGATGGGGCACTATTCCTCCCACTGACACCAATGATGGGGCACTATTCCTTCCACTGATACCAATGATGGGGCACTATTCCTCCCACTGACACCAATGATGGGGCACTATTCCTCCCACTGACACCAATGATGGGGCACTATTCCTCCCACTGACACCAATGATGGGGCACTATTCCTCCCACTGATACCAATGATGGGGCACTATTCCTCCCACTGACACCAATGATGGGGCACTATTCCTCCCACTGACACCAATGATGGGGGCACTATTCCTCCCACTGACAACAATGATGGGGCACTATTCCTCCCACTGACACCAATGATGGGACACTATTCTTCCCCACTGATACCAATGATGGGGCCCCACTGATACCAATGATGGGGCACTATTCCTTCCACTGATACCAATGATGGGGCACTATTCCTCCCACTGATACCAATTGATGGGGCACTATTCCTCCTTCCACTGACTACAAGCTTTATATAATTTTTTTTTACTCCCACTTTCGCTGGGACATTTTCTACTCCCACTGGCCACTCCAGCCCCCCTAAAGTCTGAAGGACAGTAATCTGGCCCTTTGTCTAGAAAGTTTGGAGACCCCTGCTCTATTCTATTCAAATCTATTTTATTTTTTTTTTCAATTCAATTCTTTTATATATTCTACTCCTTTATTTTCCATTCTTTCCTATTCTGTTTAATTCTAAATTTGAATTTTCGGAACACTAACACATACTTACACATTGAAGGAAAGCAGCAATAATCAGCAATATATTTGTATTTCAAATTTGTTTTCGAATTCTATTTTGAATGAAATTTTGTTTCAATATTTTGGATTTGTTTAGATTCGTTACTATTGTAATTTGGAAATTTAGGTACGTATTAACCTCCGAATAACGAAAATGTCCTCCAATGTTTGATTCGGAACGAACCAAACTGCACATGTCTACTATACTGCATATTATATAGATGCCTACCTGATGCTCGGCTCTTTGCCTTAATGCTCCAGAGCTTTTCCTCATTACAGTAGAGCAAGTCCCAGCCCAGCATCTTGTACAGATCAGGATTAACATCTCTAGTGGAGGTTTTTCCCAAGGCCTTGGCGATAGCGAGCGCTTTCTGTGGTTTACCCTTCAGCAAGAGCTCATAAATGTCTTTTTCTGTAAGAGAAGAGCCTAAATGTCAGTGAGTGATGGCCTGCAGAGATTTCCACCGTTCACCAAACTCTAAGGGAGACTAGAGATACTGTCATTTATTAGTAATACATTATCCCAGCCATGGCACCACCTGCCTGGAGTTTGCATATTCTCCCTGTGACTGCATGGCTTTCCTCCGGGTACTCCGGTTTCCTCCCACACTCCAAAGACATGCTGGTAGGTTTATTGGATTTTGTCTAAATTGGCCCTAATATGTGTATGTATGAATGTGAGTTAGGGACCTTAGATTGTACACCCCTTGAGGGTTAGGGACCTTAGATTGTACACCCCCTTGAGGGTTAGGGACCTTAGATTGTACACCCCTTGAGGGTTAGGGACCTTAGATTGTACGCCCCTTGAGGGTTAGGGACCTTAGATTGTATGCCCCTTGAGGGTTAGGGACCTTAGATTGTACGCCCCTTGAGGGTTAGGGACCTTAGATTGTACGCCCCTTGAGGGTTAGGGACCTTAGATTGTACCCCCCTTGAGGGTTAGGGACCTTAGATTGTACCCCCTTGAGGGTTAGGGACCTTAGATTGTACGCCCCTTGAGGGTTAGGGACCTTAGATTGTACAACCCCTTGAGGGTTAGGGACCTTAGATTGTACCCCCTTGAGGGTTAGGGACCTTAGATTGTACGCCCCTTGAGGGTTAGGGACCTTAGATTGTACACCCCTTGAGGGTTAGGGACCTTAGATTGTACGCCCCTTGAGGGTTAGGGACCTTAGATTGTACGCCCCTTGAGGGTTAGGGACCTTAGATTGTACACCCCTTGAGGGTTAGTGACCTTAGATTGTACGCCCCTTGAGGGTTAGGGACTGATGTGAATGTACAATATATATGTAAAGCGCTGCGTAAATTGATGGCGCTATATAAGTAACTGTAATAAATAAAATAAAATAAATAATTGTTGTTATTATCATATGTATTAAATTGCCAGGTCACCCTGGGCCCGGGTTCACACTGATGCGGTGCGGAATTCACAGCGTTTTCTGTGCGAATTCTGCACTGCATCAGAATCACACCCCGTTCATGCGAACCACTGCAGGTGTGTATATTAAGTTAACAACACCCCGAAATCTGTGCACTAAACGCAGTGCGATGTGCAGAATCGGATCGCATAGGTGTGAATACCCATGTGATCCGATTCTAGTGCGGACCCAAAAAAGGATCCTGCACCTTTTTAGTGCGGTGCGATTTGAGCCATACAAAATGTATGGCTCAAATTGCACCACACAGAATTCACATGTGATTTGCACAGCACGTATAAGGGAGGGTGGGGGCTGGGGGGGGATCCTGCAGCACAGGAGGTTTTTCACCTTATCACATAGAATGCATTGAGGCTTTAGAACCACTTTAGCTTATCGACACCCCACAAATGGTTCTCAAAACACCGTACGATTGGCTGAATCGGATCGCATGGGTGCAAACACCCATGCGATCCAATTTCAGTGCGGTAAAAAAAAAGGTGCATGCCCCTTTTTTGTGCAGATGCAGTGCAATTTGAGCCATACGAAATGAATGGGCTCAAATCGCATTGCAGAGCATCGCATGTGATTTAACCTCTTGCCGTCCGCCTGCTGTTTATAAACGGCAGGGCGGTGGCAGTCCAAGGTCGGGTTGCCGTTCCTAAACGGCACCCGCCTTTTCTAGCTGTGCGCGCTCCCTAGGAGCGCGCACCAGCGCGATCCGGTGTCCGCTGTGTCCTCCGGACACAGTGAAACACCGATCGTCGGACGGGACCTCTGTACGAGGTCCCGGGTCATGTGATCACTGATTGGCGAATCAGTGATCACATGCAAAGTAGTGAGCAAGATGTCACTTGTGACATCATTGCTTACTACGTGTGAAATCTGTGAATGATCACAGAGGTCTCATGGTACAAGGCTATTCACAACAGCCTTGTACCATGTGACAAGCTGTGACCAATCACAGCTCACTCAGTATTTCTCAATGACTGCAAGAATGCAGACAGAGAGAAAGAGAAATGATTGCTTTTACATCCTACTGTATATGGGTGTAAAAGCAATCAGTGTAAAAAAAAAAAAAAAAAATCTTCATCACCCCCCACAAGTAGTACAGTGTCACCATGGTGACACTGTACTGCTAGGGTGACAGTATGTAAAAATAAAAAATAAAAATAAAAAATAATAAAAAAAAAAAAATACAATAAAAATGTAAAAAAAAATGTTTAAAAATTATAATGTTTTATTATAAACTAATTTGGATTTTTTTTTTTACTAAAAAAATAACGGAATACATTTTGGCCAAGATTTAGGATGAAATATTATTTATTTGCAAAATTTTATAAAAAAATCACTTTTTTTTTCAAAATTTTTGGACTTTTTCATTTACATAGTAAAAAAAAAATAAAAATCCCAGCGGTGAATAAATACCACCAAAATAAAGCTTTATCTGTCTCAAAAAAATGGTAAAAAATTCATATGGGTACAGTATTGCATGACCGCGCAATTGTCATTCAAAGTGGATAGCGCTGAAAGCTGAAAATTGCCCTGGACAGGAAGGGGGTGAAAGTGTCCGGACAGGAAGTGGTTAAACAGGAATGCGGTGCGACAATGTAGACTTAAAGGGGACGTTTCCAGCTGCTCGTTGAACAGACAGACGCGGAGCTGGGTCTACTCACGTAAAGTGGTGAGTTCACAGTTCTCTGGAAGCCTTTGCATGTGATCTGCGCTGTCCCGGGACGCCTCCGCCATTGCACCTGAAATGAAGAGGGTAAGTGACCGTATGATGGCCTTTCACCCACAATTCCCAATACCAAGGCTTCCAAATCCTTCTCAGGGACGTTTTTATGCTGTGCCCCACCATCAGGGCCGATAGTAACCCATTCATGCCCAGGATCAGGGTTGCCCCTAATAATAACCCACATGGAAGAAAAATATATTTTAAATATATTTAGAAAATATTCCTCCCAAATATATTGACATATATTTGAAATACTACAATTTTGGCCGTATTCAATATATATATCAGGGGCGGACTGACAACTCATGGGGCCCCTGGGCAATAGGGGATCATGGGGCCCCTATATCCTTGCCCACACTTAAAGCACACCCAAAAAAGCCTATAAAAAAGGTACCAGGGGCATTTCATGGGGCCCCCTACTGACCCCGGGCCCTCAGGTAGATCTCTAGTGCCTGAATGGTCAGTCCGCCCCTGATAGATAGATATATATATATATATATATATATATATACACATATATTTCTCTCTCTCTATATATACATTTCTCTCTATATATATATATATATACATATATTTCTCTCTCTCTCTCTCTCTATATATATATATATATATATATAATGTGACAGTAGGCAGGTGAAATCACCTGGTTGCGTCCTGGATGGACGATATATTTGTCCGAGATTCAGGCTTTATGGGGATTTGTACCACTAGAGGGAAGTGCTGAGTCCTTCAGCACTGAGATAATGAGCCCAGCTGAAGGTAGTGGGCTCATTAACACTTGTATAAAGCTTCCCAGAGTGCTTAGGGAGTGGCTCCACCCTGGAACCAGATCTGTGCCTGAAATGTCTGGGGAGCTGACCTGTTATCTGTGTGCAGAGAGACCAAAGCCTGTGTGGCTAACCTCCAAGTACTAGCAGCTAGGTATAGCAGCAGGCTGTACCTAGTGGGTAGCTAGGGAAAAGCTGTTGTTGCAGTAAGTAGCCAAGTTGGCCAGGATTTATTTTGATGTCTCTTTTTGTTTATCATTTTTTCTGTAAATATTGTAAATAAATTGCACCTGTTTTGTTTTCACCTCCACTATTGTTGTGCTGTGCCTATCTTTTTGTGTTGTGCACCCATCCAGGGGGTCACACACACCCGCTGCCGAGCTAACCTTGTTACATATGGTGGAGGATGCGGGCAGTTGTGGTAACTAAAGGCCAGCATGGAGGAGATAATCAGACAGTTGGCTCTGGCAAATGCCAATCAACAACAGGCAAATGCCAATCAACAGCAGGCAAATGCAAGTTTCCAGCAGAGCATTGCAGCCCAGCAGAAGGCCTTGGAACAAGCAGAGGTCCGCCATAGGGAATTGCTGGTGCAACAGGACCAGAAACACCAGAAACAAATTGAGGCTGTTTTGAAGCAGCTCCAGCAGAGGCAGCAGACTGAGGCTGGTGATGATTCTGGTAAAACACCATCATTTTCTGTGGGCCGTTTATTGCCAAAAATGACTGGAGAGGATGATCCGGAGGTGTTTCTAACCACCTTTGAAAGGACTGCTGAAAGGGAAAAGTGGCCTAAAGAACAGTGGGCTGGATTGATGGTCCCATTATTAACTGGAGAATCGCAAAAAGCTTACTATGACCTGGAGCCGGACCAAGCCAAAAACTATATGATGTGCTAAAAGTGGAAATTTTGGCCCGGTTGGGTGTTACCCTCGCTGTCCGTGCTCAGCGGGTACATAATTGGACTTTTCGGCTTGGGAAACCTCCCAGGTCACAGATGTATGATCTCATGCACCTGAGCAGGAAGTGGCTGCAGCCAGAGACTTTGACCGCCCCAAAAATTGTGGAACGTGTCGTCATGGATCGGTTCCTAAGGTCTCTGCCTAATACTATTCAAAAGTGGGTCAGCCATGGAGACCCAGAAACTGCAGACAAGCTGGTGGATCTAGTGGAGAGATACTTGGCTACTGAGAACCTGACCTCCTCTTCCAGAGACTCACGGACTTTCCACCCTAAGACCAGACCATCCCCAAATATATTTTTCCTCCATGTGGGAAGAGACATTCAGTAACGTTGCATCCCGGGAGCCCAACATTTAGAGTGTTCAGGATCACACTCACCTTGGACTGTGGGGCAGGCAGTAGTCCGCTCCGTCCTACATCAGTCTAACATCCATCTGAATGTTTATTTCAGCCGGAGTTCCGCTCACGTAATCACTGTGAACAGTTTCTATTCTCTTTCATCACAAACAAAACTGAAACTGAATTCTTCTCTCTGCAGCAGCTCCACCTTCTGCTCTGATGTATGGAAACCTCAAACTCCGGAATAAGGCAGAACTCCGGGCCACTAGAAAAAGGAAAGAAAAACAAAACAGAAATAGGCATTATTTTTAGATGCAGCTAGTATAACTACAGAAAGCCTTCATATTGTCATCCCCCTTGACAGCAAAAAAATCAGACTGAGAGCGGGAGTTTCTGATTTGAGCCAATCAGGATCAACTGCACAGAGCTGCCAATATTATGGAAAATTGTTATCCCTACTTAATGTAATCATCATATATATAAACAGTCATGGCCAAAAATATTCCCTCCCCCCCTGCATTTCTGTCAGATAACGCCCAGAAAATCGTTGCAATGACAAATGTTTTGGCATGCTCATGTTTGTTTCTTTTGCTTGTATCGGCAGGACACAAAAAAGTGCAGAAATAAAAAGCCAAATCTGACACATTCCAGGCAAAACCTCAAAAATGAACAGGACAAAATTATTGGCACCCTCTCAGAATTGTAAGAAATAATTGCATTCCAAGCCTGTGGTGCTCCTGTCATTTGTCATTAAACTCCCCGTATCAATGACCAGGTGCTGACAATATAGAAATCACACCGGCAACCAGTTAAAATGGTGAAAAATGGCCTCCACCTTTCTGTTGTGTGTCTCTGTGTGCCACATGGAGCATGGAGGAGAGAAAGAGCCGCAAAGAATTGCCTGAGGATTGGAGAACAAAAATGGTGGAAAAGCATGGACAATATCAAGGTGACAAGTCCATCTTCAGAATCTTCATGTTCCTGTGTCCACTGTGCGCAACATTGTTAAGAAGTTTACAGCCCATGGCACTGTAGCTAATCTCCCTGGACGTGGAGGAAAGAGGAAAAATTGATCAAAGATTGCAACAAAGGATTGTTCAAATGGTGGATAAAGAACCTCCATCAACTTCCAGACAAATCCAAGCTGACCTTCAGGCACAGGGTACAACTGTGTCAGCTCGCACTCTACGTCGCCATCTGAATGAAAAGGGACGCTATGGTAGGAGACCCAGGAGGACCCCACTGTTGACACAGAAATAGGTAGGAGACCCAGGAGGACCCCACTGCTGACACAGAAATAAGGTAGGAGACCCAGGAGGACCCCACTGCGGACACAGAAAATAAGGTAGGAGACCCAGGAGGACCCACTGCTGACACAGAAATACGGTAGGAGGCCCAGGAGGACCCCACTGCTGACACAGAAATATGGTAAGAGATACAGGAGGACCCCACTGCTGACACAGAAATATGGTAGGAGACCCAGGAGGACCCCACTGTTGACACAGAAATATGGTAGGAGACCCAGGAGGACCCCACTGCTGACACAGAAATATGTAGGAAACCCAGGAGGACCCCACTGCTGACACAGAAATATGGTAGGAGACCCAGGAGGACCCCACTGCTGACACAGAAATATGGTAGGAGACCCAGAGGACCCCACTGCTGACACAGAAATATGGTAGGAGACCCAGGAGGACCCCACTGCTGACACAGAAATAGGATAGGAGACCCAGGAGGACCCCACTGCTGACACAGAAATATGGTAGGAGATACAGGAGGACCCCACTGCTGACACAGAAATATGGTGGGAGATCCAGGAGAACCCCATTGCTGACACAGAAATATGGTAGGAGGCCCAGGAGAACCCCACTGCTGACACAGAAATATGGTAGGAGGCCCAGGAGAACCCCACTGCTAACACAGAAATATGGTGGGAGATCCAGGAGGGCCCCACTGCTGACACAGAAATATGGTGGGAGACCCAGGAGAACCCCACTGCTGACACAGAAATATGGTAGGAGACCCAGGAGGACCCCACTGCTGACACAGAAATATGGTAGGAGACCCAGGAGAACCCCACTGCTGACACAGAAATATGGTGGGAGATGCTGACACAGGTAGGGGCCCCACTGCTGACACAGAAATATGGTGGGAGATCCAGGAGGGCCCCACTGCTGACACAAACATAAAAAGCCAGATTGGAGTTTGCCAAAATTTACCTGAGAAAGCCAAAATCCTTTGGACAGACAAAACAAAATCCCATCTTTTTTGATAAAGCCCATCATTCTACTGTTTTCAGAAAAAGCAATGAGGCCTTTAAAGAAAAGAACACATGGTGGGGGGTCGCTGATGTTTTGGGGTTGCTTTGCTGCTTCTGACACTGGAAGTCTTGACCATGTACATGGCATTATGAAATCTGAAGACTACCAAAGAATTCTGGGAGGAAATGTAGGGCCCGGTGTCAGAAAGTTGGGTCTCCAGTGTCAGAGGTCATGGGTTTTCCAGCAGGATGATGACCCGAAGAACACGTCAAAAAGCCCCCAGAAATGGTTTCAGATAAAGAGCTGAAGAGGACTGAACTGGCCAGCAATGAGTCCAGATCTCCATCCCATAGAGCTCCTGTGGAGAGATCTCAGAACTGCAGTTGGGAAAAGGAACCTTCCAATCTGAGAGACCTGGAGCAGCTGGAGGAAGAAGAGCGATCCAAAATTCCAGTAGAGAGGTGGAAGAAACTCATTGATGGTTCCAGGAGAAGCCAATAATTTCAGTCATTTTAGGGTTGTCCTACCAAATATTAAATTGAGGGTGCCAATAATTTTGTCCAGTACATTTTGGGGGGTTTGCATGGAATGTGTCAGACTTGGATTTTTGTTTCTCCACTTTTTTGTGTCCTACCAATACAAACTGTATGAGTGGGAGATGTCCTATTTGCTCTTATACAGCACATCTACCAGTCGGGTCCAAATGATGCATCCAACAATGCAAACTCTATGTGAGACTTAATCTCAGCAATTGCTGAGTAGGGAGTGACTCCATGGAAATGCAGGTTGTCACCAGATGGATAACCTACAAATCTTTTGACAACACCAGGGGTGGACTGACAACCCATGGGGCCCCCGGGCAATAGGGGATCATGGGGCCCCTGTGTCCTTGCCCAAACCAAAAAAGCCTATGAAAAAGGTAGCAGGGGCATCTCATGGGGCCCCCTACTGACCCCCTGGGCCCTCGGGCAGTGCCCAGAGTTTCCAAATGGTCAGTCCGCCCCTGGACAACACCATAATTAGTTATCATAAAAACCGTTAGTTCTGGTTATATGCACTGCTCCAGGCATGCTACACATCCCATAGTGGATAGTCCATCTAAGGCAGGAGGGGGTGGCTACATTCCTAAATACAGTGGGACCATAGAGAACAAACGTAGCCACCCTCCAACAGGAAGTCTGGTCACAGCAGCAAAAAAAATAAAAGGGATTTGAAGATCTGGAGGAGGCTCAGAGCAATAGAAGGGACTTCGCTGAATAATAAATACTTAGATAGATGGATTTTTTTTCTATTAAACCAGAGCTTAGTTTCACTTTAAAATATGTTGTCACTTAAAGCAGAACTCTAAGCAAAACTTTTTTTTTCATTTGGTATAGAGCAAGGGAGGGTTATAACCCCTGCCAGATGTATTTTTCACCATCTTTGTCCCATTGTGGAGATTTCCCGTCACTTCCTGTCCCATAGCCAAACAGGAAGTGAGAGGAAATCCCTTCAAATTAAGGGAATTCCTTGGGGCCCTCCAGGTGACCAGAACTAGTGTCCCCATTGGAAGATTTCCCCTCTATTAGTGTTCCGGGGACCCCTAGTTGTCATCAGAACTAGTGTCCCCATTGGAAGACTATTGGTGTCCCCACCTCTAGTTGTCACCAGAACTACCGTCATCATTGGAAGATTTCCCCTCTATTAGTGTTCTGGGGACCCCAGTTGTCACCAGAACTAGTGTCCCCATTGGAAGATTTCCCCTCTATTAGTGTTCCGGGGACCCCTAGTTGTCATCAGAACTAGTGTCCCCATTGGAAGATTTCCCTCTATTGGTGTTCCGGGACCTCTAGTTGTCACCAGAACTACCGTCATCATTGGAAGATTTCCCCTCTATTAGTGTTCTGGGGACCCCTAGTTGTCACCAGAACTAGTGTCCCCATTGGAAGATTTCCCCTCTATTAGTGTTCCGGGGACCCCTAGTTGTTACCAAAACTAGTGTCCCCATTGGAAGATTTCCCTTTATTAGTGTTCCGGGGACCCCAGTTGTCACTAGAACTACCGTCCCCATTGGACTAGATTTCCCCTCTATTAGTGTTGTGGGGACCCCTAGCTGTTGTCCCCATTGGAAGATTCCCCTCTATTAGTGTTCCGGGGACCCCTAGTTGTCATAGAACTACCGGAAGATTTCCTCACTATTAGTGTTCGGGGACCCCTAGCTGTCTCCAGAACTAGTGTCCCCTTTGGACGATTTCCCCTCTATTAGTGTTCCAGGGACCCCTAGCTGTCACCAGGACTAGTGTCCCCATTGGAACATTTCCCCTCTATTACTTTTTTGGGGACAACCCAAAATTTGGGATTTTCTTTTGCTTTCACTTTGAGTGATAACAGTAAACAGGACAAACAGAGAGGGAAGATCTCCCTAGCGGGGACACATCTCTAGTCCATCCAAAACTAAGAACAGAAAAGTTTGTGCCTTTAGCTGTACTTTCAGATGCATTGCAGCTTCAGAGCAGACTTTGGTGACGATAAAACTAAGCCTGAGCGCCCTCTAGTGGGGAGGTTTTGTCAGTGTGCTGCTAAAGGAGCCCTCTAGTGGCTGAATGACAGCTCTACACAGGAGTCCTTTAGAAAGCTGTAGTACAGAGGTGGGCAACCTTATAGAGGAGGAGATCTACCTGAAGAACATGGGAGAAGTCAAAGATCACCGGGCGCAGTGTCTCCTCCTCACACCTGATTTAAACCTCGAATTGCCGTACTACCGTCTCCCAATCAGGGGTTTAAATCAGGAGGTGAGGAGGCAACGTATCCCTCCTCACCACCTGTCAATCACACTTGGATCGCTTTTTAGAGGAGCGGCAGTGCCTGCTGAACTTGTGAATGAGCCCTTAGTTGCATTCGGCAGCGGCACCCTTAGGGCTCGTTCACACGTAACGTTGGCGGGTTGTAAAACCCTGTGGTTGAGTTGTGGTTTTACCGCCCCCAATCCCTACCCCTTTTAGCTGCTGAGGCAGCAGCCGAAGGTGTACACATGCCGGAGCAGGAATGAACCCCTTGTTGCTTTTGGTGGGTGCTGCTGCCTGCCAACAATGACCCATTAAAATAAATGGGGCCACCCTGCAAGTGCCCCACAACTGCATACTTCTGCGGGGTCCAAGGGGTTAAAGTAGGCGGTGAGAATGCAGCACAGCACTGCCTGTTGAACCCCTTCATTGCTGTACTGTACGAGGTTGCAGAATGGCCTTGTTCACTTGAGTGGGTCATGCTTGACAAGTGCTACACCCACCAACCATGACCGGGCATATAGCTCCTGATGTAACATGTGTACACCCCTGGCCACTGCAGCTAAAGAGGGTGTGGTTGGGGCAGGGGTGGTAAAGTATGGGATTTTACCACCCTAAGAAACTGCAAATATAAATGAGCCCCTACTGCTCTGAGCCCCCCTGTAAGGCTGCTTTCACATTGATGTGCTGCATTTTACCTGCACCCCGGTTGCAGCACAGTACATCTGCAACTTTCCTGGGTTAGCTGCACTTTACCATAGACTTCTATTATATCCTGCAGGTGTGATGCACTTTCTGAAAGCGCACCAAAACTTCTGCATTCAGGATATGATAGAAGTCTTCGGCTGAGTGCAAGAAAATCCAGCAGGGAGCTGCCGGTACACTGCACTGCACCTGCGGTGTGGGTAGGCCGCAGTACATTCAGTGTGAAAGCAGCCCTGTACTCATTATGCCCAGTGTGTTGATTCACAATGACCTGAAGATCTCTTCTTTCCTGTTGCTGGCACCACTCTGGAGACGCTAGCCAGGATAAGAGGTGAAGTGCAGTTGGTATCACTCCGCATGGGACAGGAGCCGGCATTACAGAGGAGACCACTAGCCGGGATAAGAGGTGGTGTGCAGTTGGTAATCACTCGTAGGACGTGGGACAGTACAGCTGGCACTCAGCCAGGATAAGAGGTCGGTTTTTGCAGCTCCCTACTACAGCTCCACCATGAGGAGACCTCTGCTGAAGAGAGTGCCCCTAACTCCTCTGGACAACCCGGCAGTACAGAACCCTTACAGTGATGGGCCACCAAGTCTGCTGCAGAGTCCCCTAACCCCTCCAGGAACCCCCAACCGTTACAGGGTCACCTGGGATAATGTCTGCTGCAGGTGTGGGACAGGAGGCCCTACAGAGGAACCTCTAGCCAGGATAAGAAATCCCATCCCGTGGGACACAGGGCCACACAGAGGAGTCTGCTACAGAGTCCCCTAAGTCCCCTCCCTCCAGAACCCCCAACCCTTACAGGGCCACCATGTCGACTGCAGAGTCCCCTAACTCCCCCTCCGGAACTCCCATCCCTTACAAGGTCACCATGTCTGCTGCAGAGTCCCCTAACTCCCTCCGGAAACCCTAACCCTTGCAGGGTCACCATGTCTGCTGCAGAGTCCCCTAACTCCCTCTGGGACCCCCAACCCTAACAGGGTCACCATCAAGTCTGCTGCAGAGTCTCCGAACCCCCTCCAGAACCTCCACAGGGCCATCAAGTCTGCTTCAGAGTCCCCTAACCCATCCAGAACCCCAAACCGTTACAGGTTACCATGTCTGCTGCAGATTCCCCTAACTCGCTTCAGAACCCCCCCACACAGGACCACCAAGTCTGCTACAGAGTCCCCTAACCCCCTGCAGAACCCCCATCTCTAACAGGGCCACCAAGTCTGCTGCAGAGTCCCCCAACCCCCTGCAGAACCCCCATCTCCAAAAGGGCCACCAAGTCTGCTGCAGAGTCCCCTAACCCCCTCCAGAACCCCCATCTCTAACAGGACCACCAAGTCTGCTGCAGAGTCCCCTAACCCCCTCCAGAATCCCCACCGTTACAGGGTCACCATGTCTGCTGCAGAGTCCCCTAACCCCCTGCAGAACCCCCATCTCCAACAGGGCCACCAAGTCTGCTGCAGAGTCCCCCAACCCCCTATAGAACCCCCATTACCCCAGAGTGACACCCAATTGTATGCCAGAGCCTTCCAGCATTTCACCCATATTTTACTGTTGGGGCATGAAAAGGTTTGGAAGAATGTAACCCCCCTGGTCTCAATAGTTACAGGGTGGCTACGTTCATTCTCTCCAGGTCACACTTTATATAAGAATGTAGCCACCCTTTCTTGCTAAAAACTAGGTCACCTGTTGCTGCAGAGTGGCTACATTCATTCTCCATACATGGTCCCACTGTATGTAGGAATGTAGCCACCCTCCCTTGCTCAAACTATGGACCTGTTAGATGGTGGACTACCAATCGTATCCAGAGCCTTTCCAGCATTTCACATATTGCTGCTGTATGTAGCAATGTAGCCACTCTCCTTTGCTCGAACTTTGAACCTATTAGAGGGTGGTTATGTCAATTCTCCATGGTCCCACTGTATGTAGGAATGTAGCCAACCTCCCTTGCTTGAATTTTGGACTATGGACCTGTTAGAGGGTGGCTGTGCTCATTCTCCACAGTCCAAAAAACTATATAACAAATATATATATATCTTATTCAAAAAAACAATATACTAAAATATCTAAAGAGTATCGAAAAAAAAGATATCCAAAAAATATATTATTTAAAAAACGATATACTAAAATAACTAAAAGTATCCGAAAACCTATTATATATATGCAAAAAACGATATACTAAAATAACTAAAAGTATCCAAAAAAGATACCCCAAAAAATATATATATTCAAAAAACGATATACTAAAATAACTAAAAGTATCCAAAAAAGATATCCTAAAAATATATATATTCAAAAAACGATATACTAAAATAACAAAGTATCCAAAAAAGATATACAAAAAATATATATATAAAAAAACGATATACTATAATAACTAAAAGTATCCAAAAAAGATGTACAAAAAATATATATATTCAAAAAACGATATACTATAATAACTAAAAGTATCCAAAAAAGATATACAAAAAAAAATATATGTTCAAAAAAACGATATACTAAAATAACAAAAAATATCCCAAAAAAACTATATACAAAATATAACAAATAACAGTAAA